CTGGCTTGTGGGCTTATGGGATCGGCAAAGTAAATCTAAAACCTCAAGTGAACTGTTTGCACCGGATACATGTAGTGGTTCTGTGAGTAACCACATTCAGCTTTTGTTTACATCTGTATGTACGTCAAAACCATAGATCTCAATTGGCTCACATGTTAATTTATGTTAATTATTTTTGTCAATTATTGTCATGTTTTCCTTCCCAATCTTCTACGTTGCTACACAGGATGTCGATTTGCCTGCACCAGATACCCTGGTTCACATCACGCGTTGTGGTGGTAACGGTGCCGATCTTATCCGTATGGAAGAAATTCTCGCCTCTAAGTTATCCAATGACCTGGATGGTGTGAATGCTTACGACTTTTTACGCGCGTTCACAGACGCCTTGGTCGTTATTGATGCTGAACTGCCAAAAACGTCTAACACACTTATCGGCCATGACGCACCGAATTCACTTGGGCGATCATCCGATGTCGGAGACCTGAATACATCGTCCACTTCTATCTCCGGTGACAACGGTCCTCTGGATTGCTCCGAACGTGAGCATCACGACACATCTGGTGACGTGGAGCATCAACACGGCCCGGTCACGAACCACGGTTCTGCTCTGGCCTCCCGATCAGTGAAAGTGCAATACAATCAACTCCTGAGGCGTGTTATGACACGATTGGAAATCGCGTTGTGCTCCTTGGAGATTTACAGATTCCGTCCAGCCTGTTTGGCTTTGGGCATTCTGGCACAGACGGGAGTGACTGGTTTAGCACCGCTGGCGCAAACATGCAGAGTAAGTAATTACGCATCGTGTGGAATTTAAAGGGCGTGCATTGTTGCTTCGTTCTCAGTCGCAGTCGAAGCGGGTGTGATGCAATCTATTTGGAAGTGGTTGTATGTTTGTGCATTGTCTTAATATTCCGGTGAAATCTACCCGATTCGTATCCACTATGCCATTGCATAAATAAGACGGAGTAATTGCGTGTTCCACCGCACATACAAGTAGTTTACTCTTTTACCGCTAACTTCGTTTCGGTATAGTTATCTTCATCTTCCTCTCCTCTCCGTTGCCTTTCCTAAAGGTCACATGGGCTGAAGTATGTGAATGTGCCAGTTTAGTGGACGAGTTATACGAGGTCTACTACCGTGATCCGTTGCCATCCAGTCGTCGGCAAATGGTGTGGAATTTGTCCAGGCGCACACTGTTCCGTATAGGATATTCCAGTCCTACACCTTTGGATACTATCTCAGAGGATTACGAGTATGTGCAATTACACGAGTGTACACACGATACAATCAGTGTTAAATTTATGATGAAGACTGTTGATTACTTTTTGAAATATGTTCCCGTGCACTATCTAATAACCGGTTTTAGTTTTGAATGAACGCTATCCTGCTTCACGTGCCATCAGTAAAAGGGGCCAAGTTTGTTGGTCATGAGAATCATATTGTCCTAAACCCAGGTGGTGTACTACATGTTTATTCGATGGATGTGATTATCCCGAGCGGCACTTCAGTTCATCACCAGACTAACGAGCCATCCTTTCTTGATTTTCAATCATACTGGGGACCGATAAGAGTTTGCTCCCAGCAGTGGTCTTAATTGAATTACCGATGCCGGAAATTACGTCTCACCACTCGCTATTATTGACAACAACAACAACAATAACCTCAGTATCAGCCTCCATAATTGGCTGGCGTATTTCAGTTACCATAAAGCAATCTCATATGAATCGTCATTGTGTATTGTTTTAATGCACGTCGTTGTGCGACCTACGGAAGAAGGGATAAGCCCGTAATGCTGCTCAATCAGGCTAGTTGACAACTTAAACCATGGGCGTTGGCGTGACTCTCAAGACATCCCTGCGTCAGTATCGCTTACATAGTTTTTGTGCAACCCATCTTTTTGCATCGTGCTCGTCTGAATTCGCTGTTTTTACCCATGCCAGTTGTACCACGATAAGTACGTTTTGAACCTTGTGCTCGCCCGTTCTTTTTTTCAAGCAGTTTAGTCGACAATTAAGGTTTTCACAACCCTGCCCTGTAGTGCAACCGTTTTGGTTACTGTCCTTCGGCTACCCATTTTTTCGACAAGTTGAACAAATTAAGATTAGGGGAACATTAAATGCGGACTGTGCATATATAACGAGTAGGTACGCTAATCTATTTGGAACTTTTGGATGCAAGTTCCTTTGGTTAAGACAGGAAGCAAGTTTTTCAACCATGCAATCTCGTCAAGATTTTCAATAGTGACAAGTCATAAACATGGGCTTGCGCAACGCATCCATGGTCAATGTACGGCTTCTGCATCAAGAAAGTATTTCGGCTTCAACCGAGTTATAGACCTCTCCTTTGCATAAGAATTATTATTATTGTTATATCGTGACCATTTTGGTATTTTCCGGAGTCAGAAGCGTTTGAAATGAGATATATAGCGAAGTGATCATCAATGTATGGTGTCAACACGTTCCAAATTTTTGTGGTAAAGCTCCTGCCTTGACTGATAATCGTGTTCGTTATTTCCCTGTCCCTTCTATACAGACCTGCTGACGATGATGAATGGCTTCTCCCACTGCTATTCGAACCGTGAACCAATGTTATTACTCGCACTGTCCATCCTTTCCAGTGGGTAGTTTGCCACCAATTGGTTGTTGCTCTCATCTTCTAACACAGGCGTGTTCGCGGGAGAGGTGGAAGGTGCTCATGCGCGCACTCATACTCATGCGTAAAGACACGTTTCTCCCGGTGTTTCTCCTCTTCTCGAGTCTTCATCCGCTACGCAATCTATGGTTTTTTGTTTTGGTCTCTGACGGAACGTCCGTCTATTCGCAGCATTCTGGTGCGTGATTTAAGTTTACACTTTGATTCTTTATCTGTTCTAAATGGGGACCTTTCACACCGGTACTAGCCAGTGCCATCAACATCAGATTCCTCATCATTTTCGGAAATCAGAAAAAACTACGGCAACTGGCCTACTCCTGCTTCCAATGTATCTATATTCCCCTTCCTCTTTGTACAATTTCCATCCCTGAATCTTTCCCTACCATACTTTCTTGTCTGTCTGCTGTAGATCAGAGCACAACGAAGAAGCTACGACAGTAATGGTTGATTGTATTATCTTGCTGATCGTCATTATCACAACGCGAAGGATAGGTGTATGAACTGTGGCAACAATAAACACAATTCATCTCAGGTCCTGTGTCATTCATCGACTCGTATTTTTTTGCTTTTTGATCCGTGAAACCCGCCTTTATTCCTGGATGGATTCGCCTCCACATCTTCGCCGTTATCAGTGATGCGTCTTTACGGTCCTCGGAAATGGTCTAATACAGCCGAGAAAGTGCGTCGATGTCCTTGTTCAAATATCCCACTAACCGAGTGTCGATTACAGCCTGTATCTTCACATTTTTCAGTTTTCTCTCGCTATACTTACGAAAGTGCATTCACACAACCATCGTTTCCTAGGCTTTTCCGATCTTCGATTCACAGAAACCAGCCTACCAGTGTTCTCGACTCAGTTTATTTTTTTTCTGTTTCAACTGCTTATCTCATGTGTTCACCACATGTGAAACGACCGATCGCGGTTTGGTCGTCGTTCTCGATGCGAGTACTAGATCGAACTTTTCCCAGTTCCGTACACACGCACAGCTGACCCACCGCTCCTTAATCCCGCGACACTGTCTCGCTTCACATAGAATCGCTCTTTCCTCCGTTTTCTCCAATTCACAGCTAAAAATCGAAAATTCTGATTGTTGTTCGCTACTCGTTTTAGCTTTGTAGGTCCTTGCACACATAAAACAGATCTCCCATGCCCGTTTTTTGGGATTCACTGTGGTACTCACATGCTATTGTGGACCGTCACCAGTTACTGTGACGAGCACAGACGTCATCACTGTCCATACCCTCTCCCTTTCCAATCAATCCGGTTTCCCATTTCTCCATTCAGGTCTTTCTGTATAATGTTACGATCTTTCTTCAGGGCTCTTTCGTCCCGTTCTTTTTGTTGTTCTTGTATTCCTACACTATCTTTTCTGTATATATATGTTCTTATATTCTGTTGTAGCTGTAACTCTTAGTGTTCATACTTGTGGGTATCTTGCTTGTTTTATCACCTCCATTATTCCTTTGAAAGATCACTGATTGACGCTGCATCACAACTTCGCTCGCTGATCATAACGGAGCGTGGGAGGAAACGCAGATGAAGGAGGTTCTCATCCATGCCCTCAGTTGATCCTCTTGGTTTCGAATTTGACCCGTTCACCATGTCCATATCTTTTTTCTCAAGTGTTTATCGACATGTACTTGTCTTATCTAACTTTCTACCTGGCACCTGCGGCGGTGCTTCCCTTCTCCATCACCTCGCCCGCCCGCTCCCTCCAAACTCTGTGTTCGCTCTTGACCATTCGGTGCGTGTAGCGCTTGTGTGATCGTTCTCATTCGTCGTACCCGTCCGTCCGTTCATTCGCTCGCTCGGTCGCTCTTGTTTTCTCTCCTGTTCACTTCACTTCAGTTCCGTTCAGTTGAATTCACTTCAGTTCTCGCATTCATATGTTCATATTTATACATACATATATATTTATATCTACATACACGGACAAGCTACCACGCACGCATTCGACCACACATTACCACAAGGTACAAAAGTTCGTGAGCAATTGTGCCACTCCGAAACACACTAACAGTATACACACAACCATCCACAACATGTAGACCTATTTCATCATACTCATTGTGTGCACTGAATCGCATACAAAAACCTACAGTCATATCTTCGTCTTTTTCGGCCGATAATGGAGTATCGAAATCAGATTGTGCTCGGGTCAAGCATCCTCGACTGAACCACATTGACTAAGGACAGGTATTGATGATCTTTTAGCATGATCTTGGTAAGTAGCTCCTGAGGCCGTTTGTTGGGAGTGATGAATCATGTCACGCATGAGCTGGATGAGTGTCGGTTGGACGGAAGTGAGGTCACCTTTCTCAAGAAAGGTCCTTCAATCTGCTACTCCCTTTCCTACAACTGTAATTCTTTTTGAATGCAGCTTCACCTAATTTCTCCAGTTCCGTGAGGACTACTGATTTCTAGTTACGCTAGAGCTTGCGGTGGGTAACGCTTTCTTCCAAGGGTATGTGAATATCAGTGAGCACTGGACAGCTACAAGCGGTTGCTCAACTAATCGTTCAATCCTAAATTCCTATTCGTTAATTATTGCAGGTTGTATCTTCCAGATACCATGAGGCTACGAAACGTTCCGTCTTGTTCATTCGGTAAAGGCGCAGTGGGTTTTGCTTGCCATAGAGTTTAATGGTTAGGTCTTATCAAGTTTCCCCACGCTCGAAGTGAACACGCAAAAAATAGTCGTTTTACTGACCTATAATCTGTTCTTCATGAATCCTTGATTTGTTGGTAGTACGAATCGACGAGTTAAAGTGAACTGTTAGCTATTTGGGGAGGCTGGTGTCGGATGCGCTTGATGAATTGCTTTTCTTTGGTACTAAATTAGCGATCTACGTTGATTTCTGGTAAGGTTTCTGTGAAGAGGGGGTTTCTATCTCGTTCGTACCAATGCGTGATCCCACTGCTGTATCTTGAGCGCATTTCCCGGGCGTGTACCTTTAGATGCCGAAAGCACGTGTTCGCTCAGTTTCAGTTTAAACAACCATTGGCAATGTACCTTCGTTTCCCGGTTTTGCTTGCTGTCCTTTGGCTGCCCATTCGGATGAATAATAGGACAAAAAAGTTGAAGGAAGAGTCGAACAGTAAATGAAGGAGTTCCGTGGTCTGAGATTGCAAAGAAACTGATATGCAAGAACGCTACTTTTTACGACACCCGGTCATATCATTCAGTGTCTCTAACCATCGGGTACGATCATCCCGAGGTCTCCATCCACGGAGCCTAACGGGACCAATGTGACCCAGACTCCTGTTCAGGGTTTAGCTTGGCCACCCTTGACTTTCTTACGCTCACTACTTGTCTCGGTGAACGTCGCTCTCCGTGACAACCTATCTGGTGATATGCGTAACACATGCCCCAACCAACGTGATCTACGGAGGTAGACCACTTGCTCCAGTGGACCTCCGCGGACACCTAGAACTCTGCGCCTAACCTCAGCATTGTTCGCCCGGCGGCCCCTCCAGCTTCGTGCAGTGCTGCGTAGACAGCAGTGTTCGAATACCGTCAGTCTATCTTTGTTCTGTTTTCTTAACAGCCAAGTTTCTGCGCTGTATAGCAGAACTGCCACGGCATACACTCGACCGTTCACAGACAACCGGATGTCGCGACGTCGCCATAGATGTCTCAAGTTAGCAAATGCCAATCGAGCCTTATGTATGCGAGCATGCAGTTCATCCGTGATGCGTCCATCGGGTGAGATGTAGCTGTCCAAATAACAGAACTTATACACCTGCTCTATTACTTCTCCAGTTAGAGTGCGGCTCGGTGCTGGACCGACCCAGTCTTGTAGGAACATTTTGCACTTTGAAAGTGCAAAATGCATACCGAACATGGCTACACTGTCATTCAAACTGTACAAAAAAGCTTGCAACTTACATGGATTTTCACTTAGTAGCACAATGTCGTCTGCATACTCATACGATCAGACAGCCTGCCACTCGGGAGTAAATCGATGCCGCTTTCCTCGCACGAGGATAGGGCTGTTTCCATAATCAAATCTATAACAAAGTTGAATAGAAAAGGAGAGAAAGGGCAACCCTGAAGAACACCACTTTCTGTGGTGAACTACGGCGAAAAAGTGGCGTCAGCCCGGACTCGACTTCGGCTATTAGTATAAAGCGATCGTAATATTGAAATAAACTTCTCGGGCACACTCTTCAGGGAAAGGCATCGCCAGAGTTTAGAGCGGTCGACTGAGTCGAAAGCCGCTTTCAGATCGAGAAAATCAGATGGTGGGTCTACGAAAGCAATCTCGATGCTACAGAATTTGGCGGAGAATGAAGATATAGTCAATACAACTTCGACCAGGTCTAAAACCAGCCTGGTTCTCACGTGTGCACCGTTCACGTGCGGCGGACAATCGTCGGAGTATGGTGCCGGCGAGAAGTTTAGGGGCAATGTTGACTCTGTGGTTTTCACAGAACTTGTCATCTTTGTTGTAAATCGGTATGATGGCCGATTCACACCATTCAACTGGAACCTGTTCTCTCTCCCACACTGAGCCCAGAAGTTGTGTTGACTCCAAAACTAAGGCTGAACCTCCATCCTTAAAAACCGATGGGGACAGCCCGTCGGGTCCGGAAGCTTTATGCCGTTTGAGATAACTTGTTTCCCGGGTAACCTCCATTTCAGATGGAGGGTTACTGATTACCCGTTGAGCTCAGCAATACGGTTCGATCTCATTTAGCTGACTCATGTCAGATCTTAATTTCCCGAATAATATTTGCATGGCATTCATAGCGGAAACTATTCGAACCGGAAGATCCAGAAGCACTGCAGTTTTTCTGGCATGGGTACTCACCAACTATGCGGAAATCAAACCCGAACGAAAGCGTTCTGGCCAGTTGATCACCTTGTAACTGATCGATGTTCCAATTTATCCGAACAGGACTTGGCAAAACCATGCGTTAACAGT